TTGAGCCTGGGAAAGGGGGGAGGAAATTTGTTGGTATAATATCTATCTTTTTGATTCCTTCTACCCAACTCAATAAGTAAGTATTTTAATTGGCAATAAATTAAGTTAACTTTGTCAAGTAAGGCTATTTTGCCCACAATAGTAACTGGTAAGAAATTTCGCTGTCTTTATCTCAAGCCATAAGCTTTTTTGTTCCTGTTATTCGTATTTTCTACCCCCTGCCCTGCTGAGAGCCGAGAGTGAGCAAGAGCCTGGGTGTGGGTTTAGCAGCTAGCCAAGGCTAATCCACAAGACAAAACTCAATGTATTTCTAGACTGAAACAGTTGGTGCTAAGGTCTCAGTGTCTGCTTTAGACATGCTTCGGGGGGTTACTTTGAACTAGGACTAGTCTGGCCTTGTGGCCTGTTCAAGACTGGAGTGCATCAGGCACATTCCCGAAGCACATCATTCAGTTCAGTTGTATCTGGAAGAATTCCAGTTGGAGTGGTCAGCAGCTTCTCCATGATGTGCACCAAAGGATGGTAGATGAGAATGACGCAACCAAGTGAAAAAAGCATATTGATTTCCTTTTAAAACTTAGTACTATGATGTCTATTTAAATTATATATAATCATATTCTCACTGTACAAAATATATAGAAGCATTTTAAGCAAGAAGTTTACTACTGATGTAGATACTTCCTTTCAAAATACTGTCATACCCAAGCTGTGGCTAGAGAACTAATCCTTTAAAGGACTGAGCCTGGAAAATCAGAATGCTGTATGTTTAAAAATTATGTATGTCTTCCATCTTGCTAAGAAACTTGATGCCATCCTTCCCCAAAAAAGATGTGGCTGCTACAGTCTGTGCATGTCACTTTTAAGATGTTAAAATGGTGCTATAATCCAGGCTGCTAGAGAGCATCTAATTCTTCCATGCTGTAGGATACCATGAGCATACTTTCAAAATATGTTCAGTATGTTTGAGATGTTTTAAACTCTTGGGTACCAGATTTTGAAAGGAAATCGGGTGTTTGCCAGAATTGTCAGAGGTGCATAGGATATTCGGTAGTTTATTTCCATAGAAATTTTAAGTGATGCTCATGTTTTATATTTTCTATCAAAGACTGACATATCTTTCTTTACAATTATTTAGAGCAGTTACCTTTTTGTGCTTCCAGCAATTCCTTTTCAGTGCCGCTATCCAAACACAAGGCTGCGTTTTCTCTGTGTGGTGGTTATCACTGGGAATTCCCTTTTCCATCTTACAAGTCTGAACTTTCATGCCATTTTAACAGCTTCGGTGACTCTCTCTAAATAGTTGACCATGTATAAAATGGAAACTTGAACGTGTCTCCAGTTGCTAAAAAAAACCCTCGAAGTTTTGTAAACAGACTGAAATTCTGGAATGTTTATTGGTAATGGTAGTGTAAAATGACAGCTTTTCAATGCTTTTCAAATTATGTTGTAAAGTATCAGACTGTGTGCTAAGCCAGTTAAATGAAACACCACATTTTTCTCCCTGTTTCTGGTTGTGTAACAATACCTTTCATGCAGTTGGCAGAGAAACTTTTAAAGCTTGTGCTTTTAAACCCTGCTGTTATATTTATTATCACTGTTGTCAATAAAGTTTAATTTTGAAGGAAGTGCTGACAGAGAAGGCTTAAAGAATGGACCAGAAAGTAATTTCTTCAGCCATATCAAGAAGAGAAAAATTAATAGATGAAGTGCTCGAAAAGGATTCAAATATAAAGTAAAATAGTCCAGCAATTAAAAGATGACAGTTTGTTTTAGATTCTAAGGCCTTGTCTTGTCTTAGGGTACGTTCTTTTAGCTAAATTTTATTTACTAGTGAAGGAGACAGTTCTAAATATGAGATACGTAACCATTAGTAAATGGTACATGTCACCTCTTGCTGCTTAAAGCCGACTTACTTCATTAGCAGATTCTAAAGTTGTCCTGAAGCTCTTTTCGGTGTTTGGAATATGAAAGGCTTATTTTGATATGGGATGTGCGGGACCTTTATTACTATACGACATGGCTAAAATACTCAGCAGAGGTTTAGAAAACTTAACAGGAGGTAGCAAATAGTTCATATGGTGTTACATTCAGAATGATAAGTTACAGATAGTATGGTGGCTCACAAGATAATAATGGGATTTTTCTTAGGAAATCTTTAGTCACCTGCTTGCAGCCAAACATCTGCTTGGTTTTATGTTGTATTCAGAACTGGAACAGTATCTGTAGGCACTTGGGATTTTAATTACCTCTTGAGGAACATGTGGAGATAAAATTTAATTCAGTCTGGTAAAAGCATCTGATAAAGGATTGAGTGGATGATGATGTCATTTTTTAAAGTGAAAACAATGAAATATATGTGCCATCTCTGCCTTTTCTCCTCCCTCCCCTTTCCTTTTTACTGGTCTTAAACATGACATATTTTGACATTTGGGTCACAGTCCAAATGGACTTAAGAATCCGTCATCTCTTTTCTGCCCTGTGGCTTTGTAGAATCAATGTGGTATGTACTCCTCTGTCTCTTTATACCTAGTTTTCTTCTTCCTTAATAGGTCTACTGTTAAACAAGTCCCTGCTGTTTTTAAAATAGGACTTTGTTCTGCTCTTAGCCCCAAGACCCCTTAGTCATACAAAACCTTGTTCTGTGACTCCTGTTCATTTGTTTTCCTGTTTGGAGATTTTATTTTCCACTTTTGTTTCTCCTTCCTCTGTTGCTGATGCTCAGTCTGTGAGCAATTGTTTCACTCGTGCAATATTACACAAAGGAACAAGGTAAATGGCAGCATATATTTTCTTCCTCACAGTTCTACTTCCCTTCAAAATATAAATAAAGTCCGCAAGAAATTAATAAAGTAAGCAGCCAAAATAAACTATTTTGAACACAATTTTTACCCATAAATAAAGCAGAACTTTTCTGTAGTTTCCTATTGGATTTTCACTTTGCTTTCCATCTAAAGTAGCTATCAGATACCATGGTAAAGCGTGGTAGCATTAAAGTCGTTATACAGTAAGAGACAAAACAAAAGCACCATATTTTCTGGAGATCAGTTATTCACAGAATCACATAGTTTTCTGTTCTCTTATGCTATCTGCCGGTATGCTTACCTGTGATCCTATTTGGGAAAGACTGGGTATGTACTTCAGTGAAAGACAAGGAGAACCTCGCTGCCTAGAAAAGAGGTGTCAAATCAATGCCTAAGCGTGATGGAAGGGAACATTACGATATGGTTTTAGTAGTTTCTCTGCATGAAAGTGGTGTAAAAACTGATATGAGAGTATTTTCAACAGTGAAAGACATACTGCTCTTTTCTTACTTGATAGAAACTCTGTATAAAGGACAAATTTTACATTAATTTCTTTATCGAAATTTCTTCTGCATCAGTGAGAGATGATTATTTGCTTGTTTTTGCTGCTCTGCACTTCCTAAGATGACATTGCATAATGGTTTCTAAGGGGTTGCTCTGCTCATTTTGCTTTTAGATTATATTTGCAAGGATGTGAGAGAGGAAGCGCATAATATGAAGATTCTAATATGAAAATTTGCATCTTGTGAATCTGAAATTTTTTCTTGGATTAAAATTCAGTCATTTCCAAATTCTGAGCATTTCTTCTGAATTCATAGATGACTAAAAGACCAAAAGTCTAGCATAAATCTGAGTAACCTGTTAAATGCTTCACATGAAGGAATGTTCATCTCGCTGCTTGTATTTTTGAATGTTATTGATTCATGTTAGAAATGTAATAGGGCACATATGAAAATAGCGCATTTTAAATTTCTTTCTAGTGTAGCACAACAATATGGTAAGCATTCTCAAACCAAGAAACTGTATTTATATTTTCCCCATAAATACATATGTAGGTCATTCTTGAACAATGAACAATTGTATGGAAAGAGAATAGAAAAGTAAAATGTGTACTTCAGAATACAGATGGATATTTTCCTCTTTTCTCAAACTATCATCAAAGTTATTTATTCAGGATTTTGCTATTTTTCTAGAATACTAGTGGTAAATTAAAAAAAAAAAGTTTAAGGATGATTAAATAACAAAATACCAAATAGTTTCAACAAAGAAGAAAGAAAATTAATTCAGTGCCGTTTGTTTTTTGCAATTCTATACTAGCAGAAGGATTGATTTGTGATCAGAAAAAGTAAAAGTGTTGTTTGGTTAAAATCAAAATCTCTCAAACTTTGAGAGATGTCACAGTGGTTTCTGCTCTTTCTTTATTCATGACTGTTTCTGCTTTTCTCCCTCTTCTCTAGAACAGAGATGCAAGCTAATATATGCTGGTTAAAATTTATGCCAGTGTCACTTCATATATTGTGATTTTTATTTTTTTTAAAATCACTATTAAAAAAGGAAACTGCAAGAAATTTAAACATAAGAAAAAAACTTTACTTATGAGGGTGATCAGATACCAGTATAGGTTTCCTAGACAGGTTGTAGAGTCTCCATTCTTGGAGATGTTCAAAACCCAACTGAACACGGTCCTGGGCAACCTGCTCTAGCTGACCTTGCTTTGAGCAGAAGGATCAGACTAGAGACCTCCAGGTTTTAATAGTTCCGTACTGTGGTGAAAGAGCCTGTCTTCTGTATTTGGAGATAATTTCGCAGTGATGTTGGATATTCAGGGTGAAAATTTTGGTGTAGTCTGCATATGTGCATTAAAGGAACTTATTACCATACAGTTCTTCAGATTATGACCAAGGAGATATTTTATTAATAAGTCAAATCAAGAAAGCCTATTAAGTTTTGTGTGTTTATATTTTGAGATCAATGTGAGTTTTTTAATTTCACACTTAAATTCTGAAGGAGAATAACTAAATATCGTCTCATCAGTGTTCTTCATAAAGATTAAAGAATTTATTAGAAATTTCAGATGTGTACATGTTTCCAACCATTGTGTTTCAATTGTTTTCTTTTTTTTTTTATTCAACTGCTTGATTATATAGCTAATACACTGCCTTATTATCTTCCACAGATCTGAAGAGGGAAGCCAGTATTTGTCATATGCTGAAGCACCCTCATATTGTTGAACTGTTGGAGACATACAGCTCAGATGGAATGCTTTATATGGTCTTTGAGTTGTAAGTTTCTCTCTTTGATTTTTACCTTTCTTTGTTGTCATTTGCTAAATAAAATCCTAAAAGTATGTCTGCTTCCACTTGCTTGTTTTGTAGCTCAGAAGTCTTGAGTGCTATGAAAAAATTTATTTCTGGCAAGTACAGGTTGTCCCAAATAAAAAAAAGTTACCACACTGGCTAAGTGGCTAATATCAGGCTGATTCTTTATAGCATGCTTCCTAAAGGCAGACCTGCTGTTCATTGATGGCTTCTGTGTCCCTAATAGGGTACATGAGGACGAGTTGAAAATCTGCTGATAGTCATCATCTTTGGGTAGCCGATGGTATTATATTCCAGTTGTGAAGTTTTGTTTGTTTTTTTCTAGACTATTGTTTCTTTTGCACTGCTTCTCCTTTACTAGATAAGAAAGTAAAGCTTATTGGAGTCTTCAAGTATTCTTATAAATTGATATACCTGTTCACATCATACAAAAAGAGGCATTTGTCTAAAAGATATGTTTTGGAAGCTTAAATGTAAGAGTTTAGTTACCATTGTCATATGGAAGGATGAACAAAACGTGACTTTTCAGCAGTGTACAGGTATTTTTAATTGACGAGAAACAAAAGGGGGGGGGCAGCCCCTAAATCGCCACATTCCTTCTTTGAGGGAAAATTATTAATCCTTCTTGAGTTAGGTTTTAGCTAACTGGGAAGGACAAAAACAGACATGCAGAATACTAATTGTGCATCTTCTGTGTTCGATCTTCCTTCTCTTCTCTGTACCTACCAGCTCTTCTTTTTATGTTCCCCATATATGCATTCCTAGCGTGTCTGGGCATATGTGTTTATACCTCTTTAATTTCTCTGATCTTCCTGCATTATGTTTTCTAGTGCATTTGGCCTGCTTACATTGGAGAAAGCCACATCATGCCAGTGTGTTAGGTAGAATTGGCATGTCCACTAGAGCCAATATTTGACTTGAGATATGCACTTAAAAAATAATTCTCACATGTTACTTTTACCATTGAGGTAGAGAAAAAGTTAGGTGGTAACAGCAAAAAAAAATGATGTAAAGCTGAAAATTGTCGCTTGAAAGTCTGCTTTTTTTTTTCTAGGTGAGTTTATAAACTTATGATTGTGTGAAATAATTCTGTTATGCTTTCCTTTCTGTAAGTTTTGATTCAATGCTGACTTTGTTTTTTATTTTGTAAATCCCAAAGCGTGGACCAAGGGGCTTTAATTATCGTATTATGAAATAATTATGTACACCTTGGGGAGACATGCTGTGATAATTAACAAGATTTTGAAATGGAAAAAAGGTTTTGCTTCTATTTTTACCATGCCAGTAGCTCAGAAATATGAGACAAAAGCAGTAATTATTTTTTTAATGGCAAGCCTATTATCATTTATGTTTGTATACATAAAAAGTAAGTGAACAATTAGGGTTACTACACAAATACTGTACCTGACTTCAGGCCACATGAAAGAAGGAAATATGAGGCTAAATTATTTGAAGGATAATAATTCTTTACCTTCTCGTATGTCCTTGTCTCCCTTGTACACTACAAGACATCACTCTTTTGTAACAAACTGATAGAAAATGAGACAGTAGGATCACCTGTGCTCAAAACGTAGCAGGGAGTGGAAGAGTTGTGGGCACAATGTGTTATGCTGGAGGGGATGCTTTGGTAAAGTGATTTAACAGAAGACTGGTGTTTGCTGTGCAGTAAGACTGCATTGTCTGAGTTGGATTGGATTAGTGACATACTATATAATTGTGACCATAATAAGAAACCTGTAATTAGTAGAAAAGCATCTATGTATTTGTAGGTAACTCATTTTCCCTCGTACTGCTTTCTGTTCATTATGCTATTATTATAACGAACTTAACTGCTTTGCAACAAAGTTCTGTCTACAGTGATAAAATATATTTTATTATGTGGATGATCTGCTCTGCCTGGTGGCGGAGCTGAAGGAGGAAGTGGAGAGGCTAAGGAGTATCTGGGAGTGTGAGAGGGAGATAGATTGGTGGAGCCGCACCCTGCCATCCCTGAGGCAAAGGCAGCAGACGGAGGCTCCACAGGAAGCAGAGGATCCCCTGCCTTCTTGCCACCAGGTAGAAAGAGGGGACCCAAGCGACGGGGGGGAATGGAAACAGGTTCCTGCTCGGGGTGCCGGGCGAACCCCCGTCCGGCCTCCCTCACCTTCCCGGTTGCCCTTACAGAACAGGTATGGGGCCCTGGAAGTTGAGGGCCAGGCAAATGAGGATGTGGACGAAGGTCCATCCGGGAGGTTGCCCAGGGTGAGGCAGTCAGCCCCATGCATTATGACTGCCTCTGCCAAGAAAAAAAGGAGGGTGATTGTCATAGGCGATTCCCTTCTGAGGGGAACAGAGGGCCCTATATGCCGACTGGACCCGTCCCACAGGGAAGTCTGCTGCCTCCCTGGGGCCCGGGTCAGAGACATTGCTAGGAAGCTCCCTGATCTGGTGCGGCCTTCGGACTACTACCCGCTGTTGGTTATACAGGCTGGCAGCGATGAGGTGGCAGAGAGAAGTCCTGCAGTGATCAAAAGGGACTTCAGGGCACTGGGGAGAGTGGTTGAAGGATCGGGAGCACAGGTAGTGTTTTCCTCAATCCCTACAGTGGCAGGGAAGGACACTGAACGGAACAGGAGAACACACCTGATCAACACGTGGCTCAGGGGCTGGTGCCATCGGAGGAATTTTGGCTTT